ACAGGCTGCCCAGAGAGGTTGTGGAGTCTCCTTCTTTGGAGATCTTTAAAACCCGCTTGGATGCAGCCCTGTGCCCCGTGCTCTAGGTGACCCTGCGTGAGCAGGGGGGTTGGACTCGATGACCTCTGAGGTCCCTTCCAACCTTGGGCATTCTATGATTCTATGATTCTATGTTTTTCAAATTACTCTTCCTCCCTTACAAAGAAGTTTATTATATTGGATCTGCTAACATTATATTATTTATACTGTTAAAAAAGTCTACAATTTGACTGTTCTTGAGGAAAAAATGATAGATGTGAATGATATTCTGTAATTCAGTAACCTATTAGTATGATAGGGAGTAATTTTAAAGTAAGAATTAATTAAATTATGAAATTATCCCATTTGCTTTGTTTAAATTTGAAGTCTTTTTTTTTTGTATACAGGTTATATATTGAAACTTTCCCATGACGACCTAAAGTGCTACATTTGGGGGAAAAAAGTCTTTAAGTGATCAGCACTATCACTGAATCTTTCATGACATGTTTATATTTAAAACAATCAAACAATCATGATACAGTCATCCATGATAATGCTAGTGTTTAACAGAGGCAGGGAAAAAGACTATAGAGTGTATGCACATGCTCCCGCTCTCTTTCTCTCCCTCTCTCATTCATGCTCTCTCTCTTTTTTAATCTTTGCCTTCTCTCATTTGTTATTTACTTTCATTCTCCACATATTGCCTCATGTGCCACACAAAAACTAAGAACAGTGGGTCATCTTTATCATCTCGTTGGCTTTCTCATTCCTTTGGGTACTGAACCCTGGATTTCAACAGAACTTTTTTCACCCGCCTTTTTTCTAAGCCTCTGACGTTCTCTGTATTTTGCAATTCTTTGTTTTAGTATTTTGGTGTAAAGGGATGTGTTCTCTTCGCTGCAACAGAGGATGGTGCTTGCCTCTAGCACCAAATCTGCATTTCTGATGAAGAGGAAAATGAGTCCTCAAAAGTAATCTCTCTCCTGCTGTAAATCATCCAGGCCACAAATGCTGGGAGAGCTGGAAGTAGAGAGTGTACATGGCTAGTATTGATACTTAATAATTTGATGTTGTTTAGTATTAGGCATCTTTAGAATTAAGGTGTTATTAGCAGTATATTGGTAGTTTTCTCCTTTTTCAAGTGAGTGGAAGTGAAGAAGAGAAAGAAATAATATTATCTATTTTATGCTATACATACACAATACCTACATGGGAAATCAAGAGGTCACAGATGGTGCCCATTTAGGATCTCTCCAACTTCATTTGCATTAATTTAACATGACTGACCAAGCATTTGGTTGTTGTGGCTGAGTGTGTCCTTGTTTTCACCAGTCTGGTTTTCTGTAGCAAGGAACTATGAAGAACATGGTTTCAAGTGATTCTCAGGCTGCTAAATTGCTGAATTTTAGCGTGTACAGTCAGCTGTCAGGTAGTGAGTCTTCTGATTTGGACATTTATTCAAATTACCTGTTAACTTTTTATTAATGAACTGTGAATAATCCCAATATCTTTCACTGGATATATGACCTGGTTGTTCTCTGAGATTATCTGTACTCGCCCCTGCCTCCTTTCCTACTGAAGGAGATCTGTTCTATGTCTGTAAATAGTTCTTCCCAAGGGGGTGGGCTGTTGTCATAGGGAGAAAATCATTTCCTCCTTGTGCATTGCCTCTCTTTTATGATCAGTGGAATGTAGGTATGATGTGGATACAGATCAGAGATAATACATTTAGGTGTCAGAAAAGCTCTTCTGGAACAGTGTTTCGGAACTTTTTTTCTTTCAAAGAGGTTTTATTTCTTAGTCTGAAAGATGGGAATTTCTTAGAACTTTTAAAAATTGTTAGGCAAATGGGTAATATTTGAGTATGCACTATTTTGTAGGTAGTATTCTTATCTTACTACCTACATAGAAGTAAACTGTCTAGGGAATGCAGTGTCTTCCTCTGAGGTATCTGGGTTTTATTGTCAGTATGCTGGTTCTTAAATAATATTTTGATAGGAAAAATTATTATGTTAGGGTGTTGCCTTAATATTGAGGTTACTTAATAGAATTGAAAATACAGTTGAAGCTTGGTGAATCAAATTTTGGTGAAGAGTTAGCCTATAGTGGTTGTTACAAGACACATTTTTTTATAGAATCACAGAATGATTGATTTGGAAGGGACCCCTAGAAATTTTCTAGTCCAAGCCCCCTTGCTCAGATCTGGGACAATTAGAGCAGGAGGTCAGGACTATGTCCAGTCGAATTTTGACTGCCTACAAGGAGGGAGACTCCACAGCCTGTCTGGCCAATCTGTTCCAGGGTTCAACTGCACTCAGAGTGGAAAAAAAAAATCATACTTAAGTTTAAATGCAATTTTTTGTTTGTCAGTTTGATCCCATTGCCTTTATCCTTTCATGGACACTACTTATAAAATGGCTCTCTATCTTCTTGACCTCCGAGCAGTTATTTACACAGAACAAAAAGATACTCTCCCAAAGAATAATAGGGTCTTCCCCCAAGCCTTTTCTTTTTGAAGCTCAACAGTCCCAGTAACCTGAGTCTCTCTTCATATACCAGGGGTTCCAGTTCCTTCTAGAGTAGGCACAGCAGTAATTGAGCCCCAGTCAAATACATTCACTATATAAACACTGCTTTAGTTAGAATAAATGTAACTATTATTTTCTTTTTGCAAGTGCTTAGATACATGAAGCTTGTTCCTATAGTAATACTCACTCTGAAGTCCCTTTACACTGAGAGCACTGCAAAGGAGCCCTAAGTGAGGTAACAGTCCATAAAACAGTAAATTTCAATTGAATTGCTTATAGCAATGTATAGTTTTATGATGCTTAATGTTAATTGTTCCCTCCCTGCAAGGTTTCCATGAAATGGAAAACAACACAGTTTAATTTGGGGTAGTTTAGGTAAGACTGTGCATCTCTGAAGTATATCCTTCTGTTACACAGCTTCCTTCATTCTTTGCTAATCTGATACCTGCGGAGTTGAGTTGATCAAATATTATTCCTAAAGGCTGTCTTTAGAGATAGCAAGGCCTTCTCTTTAGGTCATGATTCACATCTGGATTTTTGCTTCTATTTTATTCTCTCTCAGATTGAAGTGTGTTCTTCTAGATTTGGAAGTTTCTTGTTTTTCTTCTGAGGTAGGGGATTCTTGAAATCTAAATCTTGATTAGGGAAGGGAATCTTGAAATCTTGCTGCTTTCTCTGGTTCAACTTCAAGAACGTTGGCTCTTGAAGTGGCTTCTTGTCCACAGAGAATGCTCTCATCATCTGCTGCAGGGTTCCAGGAGGTCCTATGCCCTGCTACCACAGATCATGAAACCTCTGTATTTTATCTGTGTTTTAAAGAACACGAGCTGTCCTTCTAGCTGGTTGTTGACTTTATCTGCCCAGAGATTTATGGGATTTGGGTTAGACAGGCTTTTAGGGACCAAATTGTATCATGGGAATTGCCCAATTAGGAGCTGAAAATCCTTCATTAGCAGAGAATCTTTAGCCTCAGAAGAAAGAAAGTACCTCGTGACAAGGCCCTAATAAACCAACAGTGCAAAGTTGGCTGAAGTGCTTTTGCCTCTGCCTTCCTCTGATTCAAGTAGTGATTTTTCTTGTGTGTTCTTTTTCGTACTGTTTTTTATCAAACTTTCTAACAATTTCTGTGAATGGTGTTTCTAGAAATGTAACCATAGGAAAGTCCTTCTATGGAGTCTCTTCTGAGAAACTTTTAAAGAAATTTTCAAATATAATTTCTAGACCGTGTGTAAGGTATTCTGATCCAGTTTTAGGTCTACAGTGTTGCCATTGTTTCTTGTCAGCATGGCCATACCTAGGAAACAAACCTTTTTTTTTTTTTTTTTTAAACAGCTCTGAGTATTATTTTTATTTTGACAGACCTACAAGTTAGACTGTATGAACAAAAACAAAAAGAAATGGTGTCAGCAGCTCAGAAGAGTCTTTGAGTCAGGATCCATGCCTGTAACTGTAGCTACTACTGATTTCTTCAGAAAAAGATGCAAAATGCCATTTCATGGAAAGACGCTTTTCTTCTTTTTATTATCTTTGAAAAAAGAAGGCTTACGTATTTTCCAAAACAGGCTTTATTTGAAGCTAAAATCTTCTGTTTGATCTTATACCTGAGAAGTCTTCTTACTTTAAAACTCTTCATACCTGAAAATTGCTCGTTCTGAATAGAGTTCACCCTTTAGCTGGCACATTTTCCATCTTTCTTTGTTTAGCAGATTTCTGGCAGTTTCTCTTTGGAGCTGTTTGTAGGTTTCTTGGAGAAAGTGCAGTCACTGCAGTTAAAAGGTCTGGAATTGCCTCTGTATGTCAGTGATGGATCACATAAATTGAATCAGAATTGAAGTATGGAGTAAATGTAGCCCTTTCTGTAAGGAATTGGTAGTATCTGTGAAATATGTGAACACAGATTAAGCGAAATGTTTGTAAGAGTAGCATAAAAATGCAATGTACAAATCAAAAATGTTTACTACAGCTTTTTTAATTCAGTAGCTTTACATGTAAATCCACCAATGAATATGAATTTTCTGTCTTTCAGAGCTAGTTCTGGGGAACTTGAGCAAGAATTTGACAAGCAAGAGACTGATGACTACAAAGTTTTCAGGAAGATCCAAGGTTTGTGTCTTCTAGAACCCATTTAATTTATTTCTGTTTTACAGCTCAACACACAGAAGAGTAGTGATATTTTAATAATGTTATTTGTTACTAAATTAAACAAAAGTGTGTCCTCTGATAGATATGCCTTTTAATTTTTCTTCTTTAAATACAGAGGTCTGCCTAAAGATCATGGAAAATGTACAGAATAATTCTGAATGTAATAAAAAACAATTAGTCTGTAATGGCATAATCTATGAAAATATGATAAAGCGTAACATTGATCTTGTGTTAAATTGTTATTGTTTTAGAAGTTACTGGCAAAATGTACAAAAGACAATCCTATTTCTTCAGTTAATTTTGTAATATGCTAATTTTAGATAGTTCTTTTTTTCATTATTTATGTATATTGAAAAGTTATTATTTTCCAGTCTTTAATATTGTGTTAACTAATATGTGAGTGTATCACAGGATACCTAACTGAATTTTACCAGGTTCCTACCTACAGTCTCTTGGACGTACCCTTGCATTTAAAGTTATAGAAATAAAGTTGTACAGTGTTGCTTTTTGTCTCTGTAATCTATGATCAAGAAGAATTGCTGAATTTGCCCAGCTCCTGATTTGCTCAAGTATTTACTGCCATTAGCTGCTTCTTCTTTTTTTTTTTTTTTTCTTGAACACTTACTTTTAGAAAAATCATTGACTAATGAATTAGAAAAAAAATATATCTTCTAATTCTTCCATTTGTTCTTCTCTGGCATAATACACACAAAGTACTTTCATGATTATCTGATTATATCTAACATATGGTGTGGCCTGGGGGAAGGTTACATTTATGTATTTTAAGACATATTTTAACATGTTGGATGTTTTACAGGAAACGACTCCCTTCCTCCATTTTGTTTTATAAAAGTAAATATTAGTAATGGGGAAAAAAATAATAGGATAATAAGAGATTACTTTTGTAATCTGCTACCTACAGGTTCTGATATGACCATCATTTTTACCATATAAATAGTTCTGTGGATATTCTTTTAGAACAATTTTGCCAAACACTTCCATTTGTTCTTGTTTCAACATTTACTTTAATGTAGCTCTAAAGGAGTAGTTCTGTGCCCCATAATCAAAAGTTTGTAAAAGTTTTTGTTGCCAACTATGGTGCTGGTATATTACTTTTTGTGTTGAATGATGATATGTATCATTTCTAGTGGAAGTGAGGAGGTGTATTTTTTTCACTTGCACACATGGAATGAAAACCATCCTTCCTTTCCTTGTGTGGCCTAATGGTCTATTAGCTGTTGTTGTCCTTTATAGGACTTCTATTTAAATATTGAGCAAAAGATGGTTTCATTTTGAAGTACTATTTTTTCTCTAGAGCTCAGTCTGGATTTGTCATCTTAACTAGTAGTATCATAAGTAGTTATGGTTTTATTTTTTTTTTAAATCATCTCCAGAACATCTTGCCAAATCCATATATGTTTTTTTCCTCTGGATGCCCAGGTATGCTCAGAGAGACACTAAGGAATAGGGGAGTTCGTGTTGTAACCGGCTTAGGCAAGTATTTCCGACAGCTGGACAAGAGCAGAAGTGGGTTTTTCTCTCAGGCAGACTTTAAGGAAGCTCTAAAATTATTTCATTTGGAAGTCCCTGAAGGGGTAAGCCTAGGTGAAACTGCTTAATAATTATTATTGCATGTTACACAAAGTGTGCATAAATACTTTTGTGTTACAAAGAAGAAAGTGGGATTGAAATCCATTTTTGTCTTTTTTTTTTCTTTTCTGTTTAGAAATAATTAATATGATTCTATTTTCTTTCAAGTTGCTTTGAACTTACAGGACAGAAATTTTGTTAACACTGTATACATGTTGTTGTAAAAATTACCCACCTATAGCAAAACTGCAGATACTATGATTCTTTTATTTTTTTTTTTTTTATGATGATCAGTGACCCTTACTAGTTTGCATTAGTTCACTGTATTTGGAGTCTTTTTGGATTTGGTAGTTGTTTGCAACATACTGTAATGTTCTACATATCAATTGCATTCTTCTTGGACACGGTAAAAACATCAAGGCATTTATTTGGATGCAGCCCTGTGCCGTGCGCAACCTGCATGAACAGGGGCTTGGCCTAGATGACCTCTGAGGTCCCTTCCAACGTTAAGTGTTCTATGATTCTATAATTCTATGATTTAGCTCTGTTGTTTAGAAAAAAAATACAGAACTTTGCTCCCTTGCATTAATATCTGAGAAGAACTAAGATTTGTCTCTTTAAGTGGTAGTGGCAGAACTTCTGAATTGGCATGGGGCTGTCGGTGCTTCACCATCTTGGGGCAGAAAGGGGCCTGTCCTTGAACCATACTTGATTTTCTTTTCTTTCTTTTTTTTATTATTATTATTATTATTATTATTATTATTTATGCCTACATTAACTGCAAGTGCTCTGCTTGTTAAGAAATTGTTTATATTTTATTAGGAAAATTTCGTCTCCATCACTGTAGTATATCTTGTATTTAAAATGTGTTGATTTTTATCTTGGCTAAAAATAAAAAAATGAGTGTTCTGTATTTTTTATTACAATGTAACAATGACCTAGTATTTATGTTCATGTGTATTTTATAAGAATTGACTTTGGGAAACTACTTTTACATTACAGGACTTTGAAACCTTATGGCTTATTCTTGATCATAGCAAGACTGATAAAGTTAACTACGGGGAATTTATCCATGCTGTAGTTGGAGAAATGAACGAGTATAGGAAAGCATTTGTAAGAAAAGTAAGTATCATAGCAGATACTCTGAATGTAAATATTTTCTTCTATAACTTTGGAGATGGCCACTCACCACATTTTGAATTTTCTTAAAATGTGCATCTAATAACTCCTTAAGTTGTCAGATATATTTATTAAAATAAATGTAGTTTAGAAGACACACGTTGTTCCATCGTTGAATTAGTTAATTTTGAACCCTACAATTTAGAATTAAGTCTTTAATCATTCTGAGTTTATGAGGGTGTGTGCTATTCTCAGTCCTTGGCCTAGTGGGTAACGCACTGGGCTGTGAAACTAGCTCTTTCAGAAATCTGTTTGCTTGATTCTGGACAGATCACTGTTTGTATGCATAATTTTTCCTCGATGTGTGAAACAAGGGAATAATACTTGCTTTCTTTGAGCCTTACTTACACTTAGGGGAACTGTATTAGTTTTCTAGCTGAAATATCACTTTTTATATGTGTATCTAGAAGCTGAATCGAGAAGGGGATTGGTAATGTCATAATGTGGAGCCAGCTGCAGGATGATGCATCAGTTACAAACTACTCTATTTAGGTCACTGACTGTCGTGAAGATCATGAAGAAAGCTCTATATTTCATATTTCTAAGTACTGAGGATCAAACTCTTCTAGCCTTATATATTGAATATGCATTTGAGCAAAACCGTTGAAATAAAAATGAGGCTGCTGTAAGCAGTGTTGAGGCTTCCTTATTTTTCAGAGTGACCTGAGGGAATGTTTGTAATTAGAGGATGCAAGAAATAAGTAGCATAAGTGCAGATTCTAAGGATAAACTAGAAATTTTGGAGAGAGAAGACAACTTTCTGAGTTTGCTAGTGACATCGGACATGAAGGTGGTTGAGATAAAATAATCACAATAATCCATACGCTAGATTCACTTTCTGGTATTCATTGACAATGTTGGCAGGTTAAACTTGCTTACAAAGTAGGTAAGTTGACATAATCCATTGGATGGATCTAAACATACACGATGCGCAATTAGTTATGTTTTATATTTGTATTTTTTTCCCTATTTCTTTTCCCTCTTGTTTAGGCCTATATGAAACTAGATTTCAACAAAACTGGGAGCGTGCCTATGATAGATATCAGAAAATGTTACTGTGCAAAGAAACACCCTCTAGTGTTGGCAGGTAATTCCCTTTTCCTTGTTAAAAACAAAACAAAACAAAGTTCTTACCAGAGATATTGAATTCAGAAGTTATTTGTTATAAATATAACCTCTTTTCACATTGACTTAGACTAGTGATGTTGGACAAGAATTATTTTTTGACATGACTATAGATTGTAATGTAGTCCATATACACAATTTTAATACTTATTTTTTTTCTCAAATTACGAATACTTCATTTATGCAGATTAGATTCCTTTCCCTACTTGTGTAGGACTACATTTACTTACCTCTCAAATTTTGGAGGCAAGTAATCCATGACACATATTACGTTAGAATTTTCACTTCAGAGGAGAAAGGTTTTTTTTTAATGACTGTTTTTCCACAAAACATGTAAGGTTTCCAAGTGTCTTTAAATGTACTTGGCACTTGAGTTGCTGAATGAATTATTCATTCATTTTTGGGGCATGGTTTGTCATCCTTTACAGAAGAAGCATTAGAATCTTCATTACTTTTTCAGGACTCTCAAAAAGGTTCAGTTTTGACCATTGAAAAAAATAGGACTTTAAAACTTTGTAGGTTAAATTCTAAAATAACATCTCCGTGTTCAAATTAGTTCTCGTTAAAGTCTCCCCTATGTGCCCTGCCCCTTGATATTTTACCTGCAGAAGGGAGGATGTTTTCTGTATTGCCAGTGATTTTAACAGTAATATGTGAAGATACAGTGGTGTGGAGATGCTGAACAGAGGAAAATCTTTGAAATCCTAGTCCTCCATCATTCACTTCTTTGGACAACCCTCCGCTTTGTCTCTCTGCCTCCAGACATGAGAGATCAGTATACTGGAATACTTTTCCATCCGGTCTGTCAGATTTTTTATGCTGTCCTGTTCCTGAAAGAAGCTACACAGAGAAAACCCAGTGACTGCATAAATTGCATGGAGATGGTCTCAGAAGTATCGCAGTTGTTTATGAGCAAGAACTGTAGATCTTAAAAAATGTTTTCCTGTTAGAAACCTATACTGCAGTGGTGAATACAGTTGAAATCAACAGAGTCATGTAGTAAGAGTGAGGACAGTAATTCATTGCAATTGATATTTTCCAAAGGATAAGAACAGCAAATATAAAACTTCTTCTCAATGCCATATAAATCACTTGAAACACAATCTTTATGAAGTCAGTATAATTCATGAGTGTCACTACGAGGACACTTTTTGAATCTAAACTCCAATCTTAAGATTCTTCTAAAGCTTTGAACTTGTATTGTGTTAAGCATCTGTTTTGTTACAAAAATTACTTCTGAATTACCAAAATATTAATTTGGAAATACATTATTCAGTTCTTTGTCACTTGAAGAAAAATTTTCATCATCTTGTAATCTATTTAAATTGGCTTTGGCCTCATGATTTTTTGTTCATATTTAATGATATTATGTGCAATTAAAGTAAGTAATTTCTGTAGTTGATGCTAAGGAAGCCAGTGACTTTGTTGGCTTCAGTGGAATCAGAATATTTTGATTTGTTTGAGAAAAAAAAGTCTTTGTAAGCTAAAATTGAAGTCTTTATTGCTTTAAATATACTGAGTGCTTTATATTCACTGTTCTTGAAAATTTATTTAATGGAAAAACATATACTTTCACAGGCAAAGCTACAGAAGAAGAAATTAAATCATCATTTCTGGAAACATTAGGAGATTCTTGTAGCAATCCCAGTGAAGTATCCTACTGTGAATTTGAAGATTACTATGAAGGACTAAGTGTTGGCATCGTGGATGATGATGACTTTGTTAATATATTAAGGAACCCTTGGGGAATTTAGAGTGGAAGAAGTCAAAAAAAAAAAAAAAAAGGGGGGGAAATAGACATTATAAAAAAGAAGCAAACTAAGTGAGGATTTAGTCTTGACATGCATTACTTCACAATTAGTGTCTTACATTGTTTTCAAGTGCTGGAAATTTTACTGTGCTTTTAGAATAGTAAAATAATGAATTGCTTAATGTCCTTTGAAACTAAGTACTTTGTAAATGTAAATACTCTTCACTTCTTTTTATTGGAAGTCATAAAGGCTATTCCCCACACCAGAAGACATCATCTACTTGATATGAAGAGAAAGCATCTTATTTTAAAATAACAGGAAAGTGGAAAATTCATGGAAGATTAAGAGAAAAAATAATTTTATGATGCACTGTGGTAAACTTTAAATTTGACTGTATAAATATCCATGAGAGCTTTTTTTCCCAACATTTTCTGCTTATAAAAATAATATTTATTCTGATAACATTCTTGTAGTTTCTTATTTCTTATTCTGGTGCTTAACCTTAAAGAGAGCAGTTCATCCTCCAATTTTGAGGATGTCTGCAGTATCCAAAGAGTGAAGAAATTCACCTCAATTAGCTTTTAAACTAGCACGCAGACCACCTCTGCTGCTCGTAATTATTCATCTTGGTCAGGCCTCCAAGGTTGGGCATTGAATCCCAATGGTTTTAACAAGAATCTTGTGTCTGCATATGCTGTGCAGCCTTTCACTGCACAAATAGATTTTGTGATGCACAATCCTTTTCTATATTTTGCTAAGTTTTTTTTTTTCTTTTCAAAACAAAATATAAATATCTCTTTTGTACTTTTTACTGCTATTTTTTAAACTAAAGCTAAGCAATTATATCCTTTATCCAAACTGATGTATAGAATTTCATATCTGCTTCAAAAGAATAAAACGGAAAAGTATATAAAAGAACACCTTGTCACAACCAAAATTAAACCATAAAGTGAAATATTCCTTGCTGCTTCGAATATTCAGCTAGATATGTCTTTCAGTGTAATAAATCTTGTTAATTCTATAAGATTCATTGTGTAAAGGAATTTAAAAAATCATTATTAATTTTCTGTATATTTTTGAGAGCCTTTGGTTTCTGTATGCCTGTCACCAAAATTAACTGTGTTTTCATCTGCATTTCTTCAGCCTATGCAATTAAAATACAATAGGTTTCTCCATGCTTGTCTGACTATGTTTTGAATATATAGCCTCTGGCTAACAGAACTTTCCTCTCAGACAGAATTTCTGTTTCATGGGAATTTGAGGTCAGTGCTGAAATGAGACTTTGTTTCTGCTATGAGTGGTTGGCTTATTTTAGATAATATTTTCTTACCTTGTTTTGATAACTTCTGCATTGTTGTCTTTTGATTAACAGTTTATTTGCACTCGGTCCTTACTTTGTTAATTGGGCATCTCAGAATCAGTGATTTTATGAACCCTGTTTTCGGCTAGTTTTATGGGGATCTGCTTCTTCCTGTGTCTGTTCAAATAACTGAAAAATATCAAGTGACATTTTTATTAGTCTTTCAAAGAATAATCTGCTCAGATTCGTTCACTTAAGAGAACTGGACAGCATATAAAGTTGTAACTCCACTTAATGAATGTGAGGGTCATTTGAGAAGAATGTATTGGTATTTACAGTAATGAGTTCAAAAATATTTTGCTGGAAAACCTGAAATTTTAAAGTCAAATTGGAAATGAACTTGAGGTTTTACTTGTTTGTTCAGGTAGTGATTTGCTCCTACCTTTATGCTTTCACTTCATAATTAAGATACGTCAATGCATCTTTTGCATTTCAATGTAGCTTTCAATTTGAAATGCATTTAAAGTTCACTTCAGGGGTAAGGAGGACTTTAGATGATCTCACTGCTGTTACTCTTAGAAATATTATAGCATGTTATCCTATGGAATGGAAAAAAAAAAGCATAACAACTGGGTGTATCCTTAGTAGGTCAACTTGCTAGTAGAGGCAACATCTGTTGTTTCAGTTTTGCTCTCATCACTAAATGAGGCGCTATTAAGTGATTGTTACTTCCATAGCTTTGATAGGCGTGAATTTTTTTTTCCTTCATCTGAAGGTGAATCCGTGGCATGGTAATCCAGGATAAATTCCAAAGGTCAGGCTTAAATAAAAAGTGACTAAAAATGCAGATAGGTGTTTCTTGCTCTGGTGCTTCTGTGAAACGTAATGGGCACATTGCGTCTGTTAACTGTAAGGTCACTTATGCATCGATGGTTGCCTCAGACCATGAGCTCTGATGTCTGTGGGGAAATTTTAATAGAGTTGCACAAGTGCCTAAAAGTCATTTTCCATCTGCTTTCTGTTGTCCATGGTGTAAACTCAAGTTTCATAGTGTAAAAAAAGAATTGCAGCCCAAGGCCGAGCTTGCCTAGTTAGTAGAAAGGCACAGAAACGATTCAAATCACTCTCTCCAAGGTCTGTTTTGGTTGGTTGCTTCATTTTCATAACTGTACTGAAAACTATATTGAAAATACACTGAAATTGTCAGTACTGGAAATTATAGCCTGGATTATCACCCCTTGGCAATCAAATACTGCAGCAGGTACTCTGACTATGGTGCCTTTATGATTCTGTAAATTCCTTTTTTTTTTTTTTTTTCCAGAGTATCTAAGCCTAAGCATATAGCCGTTGTTTAAAAATATTTGAAATTTGCTTGTATGGGCGAATCATTCGGAGACGAGAGTAACCACATGTCATGCCCCATTCTTTACAGTTTTGTATATGAAGCTCTCTTCACTTTTGCCATCCAGATATAACAGCAGCAGCTGTCAAGATTTTTGTTTTCAATAACAGTGGTCTTAGTGCTATGTTTCTTTTCTGATTTGCTTTTATTTAACTGTAAGTCACTTGAGGAACCTGAATCCCTTTTTGTTGATCAATACTTAGTAGCTTGAAGCTTTCTAGAGGTGTCTGCAAGGATTTACTGTCTTTAAATATGTTTCAGGTAAATGCCATCTTCCGTATTTGCTACCTTTCTCAGTATTGCCCAAATTTTTGAATGAGAATGTGTCCTCAGTTAGAAGTAGTGTTCTTGGTTGGAGAATCTGTCTGGCTTCTTTACCTGAAACTCACAGCTTAGTAACATGAGTTTGTATTTTCATACCACCCTATTTTATACTCTGCTAAAAAGTCTTGGTTACTTGCTATAATTGAAACTGTTAGACGTGCCATACACTGGAAATATGTTTTACCCTATTATATTCATGTATACCCAGAAGACACGTATGAATGAATGGAACGATGCAACTTCTCATTCCTCAGGGCTGTGACCAGGAGCTCCATGTGCACTGGGAAGTGTGTCCTGCTTTCTGTAGGCCAGCCACGATAGCTGGAGTATTTTTAAAAGCAAAACATAAAGACAACTTGCAATGAGGCAATAGGGATTAATGGGGTTTCTTCTGCAGATTTTTTACATACTTTTCATGCCCAAAATCGTGCTTTTAAGTTGGAAGTGAAGCTCACTAGGAAGTGCTAAATTTAGGTTCAGAACGACTCCATTCAAAAGCCATGTCTTGGTATCCTCCTTTTTTATCTACCCCATTTCTGGAGTTACTGTTGGTAATTCTGCAGATGTTCTTTCTTTGACAGTTTTGCCAAGGCCCCAGTAAAATTCATTTTGGGATAAGCTCACTGTGGGTGCTATCTGCTTTGCTCTGCTTTGTTTCAGGTGTGGAACCCTCCCGCCTGTTACAGGAAAGCACACCTAAAAATCACTGTAAGTTAACAAGAGCAGCTTGAGTGATGTCTCTTAAAGTAATAATCCCTTTTCTTGCAGCTTGTACTAGGTGACATTTAATGTCTCCTATGACTAATTCTGGGATCCTGTGTTTTCTCTTAGCATGAATTAAATCCTGCAGTCACGCTAGTGAAATTATTCCCCTAAAGTCATTTCCTTTGACAATAGTACTTGTCTTGCAGATGTTGGTGATTAACTGCAGTTTTCCTTTGTGATTAGTCCATGAAAGCAATTGCAAAAGACTTGAATTCTTCCGCTTTCTCAATATTGTGGGACCAAGTGGAAGAGCAGCTGGGGCTTCGAAGCTCAAAGCTTCAGATAATGATGTTATAGCAGTCCAGGACCCCATATAGAGTTCTGAGGCAAAAAGGGATTTTAAACACTTAATTGTCGGTCCAACGATTCAATCTAAATGTCATTTTAAAAAAGCTTTGGAAGGGCCTGGTGAACAACACAATTTAAACCAAGTTGCATTATACTAGTCTGATTCTCAGGGGGTTGATAAGACTTCTGTGGAATACTATTCTATATGTTATTGTTGCATAGTTGTAAGTAACTATTGGAAAAGAAGAACCCAGAGAAGCTTTATTTTTGGGGGGTTATCAGGGTCACAAAACTAACTTTCCACACCATTTGTGGTCTTTTCTAATACTTCTCCCAAACTCTGTGATTTCTACGATCTCTTTCCAAGCTTATTTTGATACTGCTCCAAACTCTATTCATTCAGAAGCATTTTCCTTGTATGCTTAGTAAAATTCACAACCCTACAAACACCCAACAGCAAAAATCCCAAGGAGATTGTCCCAAGGGACAAGGAGATTGGAGAGATAACAAAAAAAAAAAAAAAAAATCCAAATAAACTAGCTCTGATGGCAACACTACTCATCCATTCTCAGATCATTCATTATCTCTGAACCTTGTCAAATCCCCTTGGAAGTTTAAATATTGTTCAGTGAGGAATGACTAGCGAAGGGCTGTGTTACTATGCTACAAACCAGACTGCCTATGTACAGGGTGACTGCATGATGGAGGGAGATAGCTCCTCCCTTGTGCATGCTTCACAAAAGCTGAACACAATTTTTGACCGCTGTATTCCAGAAAGTAAATTTGGCCAGTTCTACATCTGTTACAGGTAAGATCCTTAGAAGACATGTAATTTTTTCATTTTTCCTTCTGGAGTGTCATCCGTGAAGAAAAGCCTTCACCCCAAGCATATGTCTCTATAAATATTCTCCCTTCACCTAACATAGGTCAGTATAAACATTCT